GCCTTTTCAGCGGATTGTTTGCAGTGAGTGGCAAAACAAAGTGTTGGATCAAATGTCACCCCTAAGATTGTTGGATTTTTGTTTAGGGGTAGCGCCTCGTTATTTAAAAGAACACTAGGTGTTTTATTAAATTCTTTGTTATAAGAGGAGAAAAGTGTAACTGATCCTTTAGAGGACGCGAAACTTAGTTTGCGTGAGGTGAAAAAATCGTAGAGCCTTTTTAGGTAGCTATTGATGGAATTTGAGGCGATATCAATATTGGAACTGCTTGCGAAGGGGTGGAAATCGTCTGCATACGAAACAAGGTTTACATTATCGGGAGGTGGCGGTGCATCATGGACATAAAAATTGAAGAGTATGGGTGATAAAACAGAACCTTGGGGTACGCCACAGTGGATTATTCGATGGGGGGATGTGTGTTCACGGAATGAGGTGGCAGCCTGTCGACCATTAAGGTAATTACTTAGCCAGCGGACTAGACTTCTTGGGAGGAGGGTGTCATGAACGAGTTCCACAAGTGAGCGATGACACACCATGTCGAAAGCCTTAGATAAGTCAAGTGTGGCCAGTACCGTACGTTTAGGGGGGCGATTTTGGTTAAAACCGTCTGAAATGTAAAATTCGAGAGTGGAGAGAGCTGTGGCGGTGGAGTGAAAAGGGCGGAAGCCGTGTTGGTGTTTGGCGTTGGGGAGATGTTTGGTAAAGATGGGGTGAACGAGCCTCTCCAGAATTTTAACTGCTGGGCAGAGTAAGGATATAGGTCTGTAAGATGTTGATTGTTTAAGATCCTTATTGGGCTTTGGAAGCGGTGCAATTTTTGAATTTTTCCAAATTTGGGGGATAATGTTTTCGGACAAAGAGATATTAAAAAGGTATGTTAAGTATTGAGTAGCAAGTGGGCCGAGATGTTTAAGGTGTATATTACAAAGGCCGTCGGGACCTAGCGCTCGCGATGGTTTGCTGTCTGCAATGGCTTGTTTAGTATTTTCAGGGGTAAAAATTGGGCTGTCTGACAGCGGTAGTTTGGCAATTTTTCTTCTCGTTATACGAAGGAGTTTGTCAGAGGCGTGGGGTCTGGCATTGGTGAATTGTTTGTTAAAAGAGCTGGTAATATCACGAGGTGAGTGTATGGGTTTAGAACCAAAAGTAATGGGGTGTCTTCCTGCCACGGGCTTAGATCCATTTAAGGAGCGTACCACTTTCCAGAACTTTCTGGCACCAGTGCGGTAGTCGCAAGTCCGGAGGAATTCTCGCCATTTATTTTCTTTGTCCTTTGCTGTCTGTTTCATGAGTCTACAGTTCAGTTGGGATATGACTTCTGGGGGGAGATTTTGTTGTCGGCTTAAATCTCTTTCGGCGGCAAGGGCAGTGGACTCGGGGGAAAGAGAGGGAGTGAAGTGGCGAATACGGCCAGCGGGGATGTGGTGGCGTGCTGCCCTGAGCACCAGGTCCCTCAAGAATTTCTCTCCGGCGGCAACTCCGGAAGGTGGAACCGCTGAAAAGAAACCCTCCTCAATTTCCTCTGTGAATTTGATCCAATCTGCTTTTAAAAAATTTATAAAAGTCCTTTTAGGTGAAAAATTTATAAAATCATCCAAGGGTAGTTCTAGAAGAATGGGTAGGTGATCTGATCCTAGAGATTTAATTGGGGTCCATGATGTGGAGAGTAAGAACGATTGGGATGCGAGGGAAATATCTGGTGACGAGAGTTGGTTTTCTGAGTTAAAAGGGACTCTGGTTTGTGTGTCATCATTTAATGGTGCAAAGGTGGATTCGGTTATTTCATTGCTAAGTACAGAGCCGCGTTGATCTTCCTCGATGTTAGAGTTCCATAGTTGTGAATGTGCGTTGGCATCCCCGAGTACTAAGGCGTCCCCAGGTTCAAGTAGTTCGGCAAGGGACGCAGAGTAACCAGGGGGACAGCTCGAGCGAGGGGGGATGTAGAAATTATAAATACGAAGCTTGGATGAACTGGCTACCACTGATATGCCCATAGCCTCTAGTGTTCCATCGTTGTTAATATTTATTTCTTCGTATTGTATCGACTCATGTATGGCTATGAGAAGACCGCCCCCTTCTTTTTCTCGATCTTTTCTAATTAAAGTGTAGTGTGAGCCTAGTGAGGGGTTTCGAGATTTCTTTCTTAATTTAGTTTCTTGGAAGACAGCAATATGAATTTGATTTTGAGATAAGAAAGCAGCAATTTCGGGTGCTTTTCCGGAGATACCGTTGCAATTAAATTGAAGGATTTTTAAAAGGCCTTTGGCGGGGTGTGGTGAACTATTTACATTATTAACAGCAGTATGATTAAAATGGTTGTTTGAACTTGAGTTATTTACACTATTTACACGATTACGATTTGCGCGATTTTGGGAGGAGGAATTTTTATTCGAGGAGGTGGGAAGGGTGGGAGGGGGAGGTGGGTTAGGGAGGTGGGGTTGGGGGGCGGTTAGGGAAGTTGAACAAGTTTGGGAGTTGGGGGTGGTCAAGTTTGGGAGTTGGGGGTGGGTAAGACCACTACATTTAAGGTGAATGTAACCACAGATGTGGCACCAGACACTGGGCTGGGTGCGTTTGATGCGGAAAGAGCAAGGGGAGCAAAAGTAAGGCCCTGGACCAGGGTTTGGATTAATGCCGGAGCGGAGTAGTAGTATAAGGATGAGCAGACGGAGCAGCCTGGCCGGCTTCAGACGCTCCGTAACCGAAAACCCGGAGATTTCTGAGCTTCTCCCGACCCAATGGGAGGGGGGGCTTGACGCCATTTGCATCTTGGTGGGGCCCAAGATGTCGGATCCACCACTGGAAGGCGGCGTCGTCTGGATCCATTTTGTAAAACTGGTTGAATGTAAGCCTTATATCATTTTAAGCGAGATTTCTGACTCAAAAACAGTTTAAAGAGATAAACTTTGCCTGTGTGTTATGATAATCGACTTATCAAGTGATTCATATGTTGTTTGTATTCAAGAGTGTTGTCTAATGTCACCCCTAGGAATTTCATTTCATTTGTTAGTACTGATGCTATATTTGCTTCTTGAACTTTATTTTCCAGTTTAGTTTTGACCCGAAGAATTTTACTTTTACTTTCGTTTATTGTAAGCTTATTGCTCTCTATCCAAAACAAAATGCGCTGTAACTCGTTGGACATTTATTTACCTTCATCTTTAACAGTTCCAATCAATGTTGTGTCATCTGCGAAAATGGTTATTTAATAATTGGTACTTCAGGAAGATCCACAAAAAGCAGAAAAAGTAGGGGTCTTAGCAATAAACCTTGGGGCCATCCCTCACACTATCGAACTTTTCTAAGATAAATGTTTTTCAAAATCAACATTTTATTATCTGTTTTCAAGATATGACTTCAGAATTCCGAAATGAATTGCTAAAGCCATATCGACAACAATTTTCAAGAATGGAGTAATCAACGGTATCAAATGCTTTTTAGAAACCATAAAAGAATATACAACATCACTTTTAGCTGATAAAATTCTCGAAATGATCTCAAAAACATCCAAAACTTCATCTACTGTTAATTTTTTTGATTGATATCCAAAATGATTTAGTATCAAAATTGTTTGAGATAAAATAAAACTTTTCACTCTGTAACATTAATTTTTCAAGCACTCAACTGATCAACGGAATAGGAGAGACTGGTCTGTAGTTTCAACAGTTATCTTTGTTTCCACTCTTAGAAAACGGTATTACTCTTAAAAAACGTTATTAATAGCAATTTTCAAAGCTCGAGTTAAGTACTGCTCCTAAAAGCAACGATTGAACAGCCTGACAAGATAACTGCATACGGCAGGATTCATTATTTTATTTAGCGTTAGGGTCTGTGATTTAGCGGTTTCTCTAATTGGGTTGCTCGTTAATCTTGGCTGCAATCTTTGAAATAATTGTGTTTAGAAATTTTTTGTACTTTTATTTTCTTCAATCATATATATTTTTATATCTCGGCAAAGTATGTGTTTGCAAATAGTTTGGCTTTTTACACTCAGAATGTGTTCTTGTAGAATGTCTAAAGTTTCATCTATTCTAAAGTTTGGTGATTTGTAAATCAGTTAAAACCAATTTTTCTCCTCTTTATGATTTGATATTCGTGTTGTTTTATGATATATATTCTTACGCACCACCTCTTTTTACTCTATTGCATGCAATATTTTTGATATCCAATTAGAACTAGCGCATTTTCGTTCGTTTTTTCATTGCAACATGTCTCTGTTAATGCTATTGCTAGTGGTTTACTTTCCAGTTCTGAAAGAAAAACTTCAAATTACTCAAAACTTTATGTAGTGATCTATTATTTTGGAAGTACTAGCCGAGACATGAACTTTATTATTTTTCAAAGTAATCAATCCGTTATGTTCCCGCTGCGATTTCTGTTTCTACTTTATTATTCTCGGTTTCAGTTTCCTTTCATTCCTTTCTTCCGCTTTTTTGTATAGAATTTTAGCCGAATTTGTAGTTGTACAAATTTGTAGTTGCCTAAAAACCTTTTTGTGTCTGAAAACAAATCAAAATGTGAAAAATTTCATTCCGCATAGAGAAAATTTTTACACTGAGAAGCGGAGCTTCACGTCACTTGGAATACAATCAGAAAAAAACTCGAAATTGACGAAAAAACTAGATTTAAAGAATGATAAAGCTACATTGAAAAAACACAGACCAAGACAAAAGAATGTTAAATTAGCATAGGAGGAATTCTTGTCAAGCGGTAGAAAAAGGCCAAAAATTCCTAAGCAGAAAACTATTAAAGCCGAAAAAAGTAAGAAGACACACGATTATCCAAAAAACCAAGGCTGAGGACCGGAAGTGACCGAGTGGGTGAGGTGCGGTTGAAAGCGAACACAAAAATTTTTCCCAAAACCGGAAATTAGCATGTGGAGAAAAATGTCACAATTCAATCAGTTTTAGACATTTTGAAGTGATTCGTGTTCAAGGAAACTCTCAGTCGATATGCAATGGGAATAGTGAGCAATTAACAGCAAAGATTTTGTAGATGACCTTGAGTAGTTTTGAGAGATGGGTTTGGTTTGGCTGCTGGTCATCTGAGACCATGTTCACCACACACTCTGCCAATAGACATGAGGCTGCCAGTGACTCCTGGTATGCTCTGCTTTTCTGCTGGCCAAACCAGTCGAAGCTCCTCAGTGAAGCACTGCAACACAACAAGCCAATATGAATGCCCACTACTAAAGTTGGCTGAGATGATTAGGCCATGTGACCATTGAAGACTAGCTGTTACATAAGGAAGGAAAACAACAACAAAAACAACACGATGTTCTCTTGTCGATCGTTTCATGTGTTCCTAGGAGCTTTTGGATCAGTTTTGAATGACTTGTGGTGATAACCATCTCACTAAACAACAACACTTTCGTACAATTGTTCAATGTACACCTTCGACCTAAATTTGGATAGAGTGAGAAGCATGAGCAAATGTTCAGAACACTCTCTCGCCGTCTCTAGTCCATCTCCCATGTGTTTCTTAGTCCAACTTGTCTGTCTATGATTGTGTGCGTGTGGACTAACCTGAATGCGAATGCCTCTGCTATCTTGCGGTAGATGTAGCACTCGCTGTAGAGCCAGGCAGTGTGGAAGAAGGAGGGAGGGGTGCCTTTGTTCGCTTCAGTCTCCTCTCTCAGAATCTCATTCCACACTGCATTGTCTGGTCTGCCGTCACACACACTGTTCAGTGCCCGGTTGTGTTCCAGGTCGTACTTGAGGGAACCCAGTCTATTGATCACATCCGAACTGTCCTCTCTCGCCGCCTAAACCACAACATCACAACAGCCATCATACCTCATTTGCAGCTTCCATAACTCTAACTTCCAATGGCGCTGCTTTTTCGAAATTTATTATTTACTTCTTTCTATTCATAACAGCACATACTCAAGCTTCAAGAATCCTTTCTAACAGATTGAAGCACCTCAAACAATGCTATTTTATTTAGTAATGTGCCATGTTTCTCTTGGATCAATGGATGGCGCATACAATAAACTTTACGGCTTTGTGGATAGTCAGCTCCTGTCACTCTCATTTCAGACAGGGAGAAAACCTGGGGAAAACTGAAGCTTCGAGAAACTTGAAAACTTAGGTTTCGTAGATAGGTAAAACCGAAAATCATTTTACATCTTGAGTTTCTGAAGCAGAACTGGTTTTTGGTGGCTTTTATTCTGGTTTTTGGTGGCTGTCAAAACAAATTCTCAACTGCATGTGGTTTGGTTGCTACTTCCCTGTACCTCAGCAATTTTCAGGAAAATTCAGTTAATGAGATATTCCATGCAATATCGAAATTCTGCTACCCAGCAAATACTGTACAGGAAAACTGTAAGGGTTGGTTCGTTACCCCCACACTTGTTTCCTCGAAGTTTGATCAGTTTACAAGAGCTAGTATTGCTCGATAACTATCAATTACCTTCACCAGGATCAAAATTTCAATAATTTATGAACAAAATTTTTGAATCGAATTGGAGTTCAACTTCGGAACAATTTTTAGAGCCCAAACAATCTCCGAACAACGAATACGGCTGACAGTTGGCATTCAACCGAGAATCGCCAAAGATGGTAGAGCCAGGCCAATCATTTTGAACCGTAATTTTTAACTTCTCGATACGTTTTGCAGCGATTGGAACTGGAACGGTGAGCCAAAACCGGCTCAAGAAATCCAGCGAAAACACTTAAATGCAAAAAATGACCTATTCAAATCTCCTTATCGTCTGGGAATCATCAACTTGTAGTTATTTTGGAGTCTTTGTACTTGTCTGTTCAAAACTCAGAATTTCAACAACCTGAACTGCAACTATTTGCTTTATTCTGATTGGCTAAAATTAGCCAATCAAATTTCAGCACCGTCTCAAAACGTTTTGTTCGCGATTTTATCTCGCCTTAAATAAGCCGAAATGGCTAAAAAAAATTTGATGTTTGATTGACTATTTAAATCAATTTCGCAGACAGGGTGCAGACCAGAAAAAAAAGAGAAACGGCAGCCTAGAATAAAAAACCGGCTCCATAATAAAAATGACCACCTTCATATCTGCTCAAAATTCAGCCTCGTTATAAATCGGCTTAAGTGGCCACGTTTGTATTAACTAAACCAATCAGTGCGCAGCATAATCATGAGTGACGAAATCTCTCCTTGCCCTCGAAATAAAACGACAATTGTTTAGCGGCACTGTCGCAATGAAGCTGAACAGGTTCCTGGGATGGACAGGTACGGGTTTACATCAGAAACATGTTTACTTAATGCAAATGACGCATCTTACATTTCGCATGAAAATATCTTGAACAACAGACAGCACAACATCAGTCGCTAGATACTCTGAGAGATGGACCACCTTGTGCAATGGGAAAATCTTTTTCGATTATGGTTTAGGACATTTGTTATCAGTGGCACCGAAATTTGTCTGCTCTTCGTCGGAATTTCCAAGATTCTTATTATTTTGAACTATCGAAGTATCATTTACAGCCGATGGAACCAGGTTCGACGCCGATTCAAACCAGGTTCGACGCCGGTCTACGAAACAAATTCAATCAGCAACTTGAAGATATCCAGTGTAAGCTCTCGATGCTACTTTGTACCCGAGTCTATTTAGTACTTTAAATACATGCTTTATTCGTTATAACTCATGGAACTTAGGGTTTCAGGACCATAGTTATCATTGGCACTGAAATTCGTCTGCTCTTCGACATAAATTCGAAGATTCTGATCATTGTGAACTATCGAAGTATCATTTACAGCCGATGAAACCACATTCAACGCCGATTCTACCAACGGAGCGGCCTTCTAAACAAATTCAATTAGCAGCCAATAGAACTAAGATATCTAGTGTTAGCTCTAGAGTCTACTTTTTGCCAATAAACAACTAAGCGAAATCGTGTACCGCACACAATAGCAAAATCGTGAACCACACACAATACGTCATCAGTCTTTAGGTAGACTTCAAATTGGACTGCCTTGAAAAATTCAGTTTTTTAAACAAGCTTAGGAACTTGATGAAAATGTTTCGAGAACAACAAATATTTTACATTTTGCAGACTGTTTTCCCTAAAATTTGCCTGATTTTCAGCAAGAGTCCGATCAATTTGTTCTACAATAGGATCGCTTACAATCGACGGTACAATTTCTAACAACAGTCCTGATGGCTGCACAACATGAACATGTCCGATATAACATCAAAATATGTATGCCTTCTGTCAGCAGCTTTCGATTTCTCTTCTAATTGAAAAAGAAATACTTAACCTTTCACGCAGCTATGTCATGAACAACAGACAAGACATCATCAGTCTTTGGGTACTATACATGGTGAACCGCCTAGTAAAAACAAAATATACAAATTTTGTTTATTCGACCACACCAAGAATAGGAAAACAAAACATTTCCAGTTCTTGCTATAACTTGAATATGAATACAAAAGATCGCAAACAATTGCCATGAATTTCATGGCTGATGACTTTATTTGCCCTTTTGACCTCAAATACCGCTCATTCAAAGAGTAAACAACATGAAGAACTGTGCCATTCTGCCAGATGACACAGCATAACCTTCCCGCGACAGAAAAAAAAGTGACTAAAGGCCTTATGAACAAAAAAGTGTTGCGACGGAGGGTCAGAATGTTCTAGAATTTTTATTTTTAAAATTTCGATCGGAAGAAGAACATTTCTGAGAAATAGAAAAAAGACGGCCATTTTGAATAAAAAAGACGAAAATCAGAACAACGATAGAAATTGTGAAGAACAGTTGTATCAGAGACAGAAAAACACGGAGCCTCTTATCGTGGCAAAAACACACGATAAGGACCTTAGCGACAGATATTTGTGGAGACGGAGGCTTCGGTGGGGGGAAGAGAAATACCACGGAACCCTCCCGGGACACGAGATATAGGAGATAAGAGTGTTATCTCAAGAAAATCACGGGAGCGGAGGCTTGGTCCCCCAGAGACTGTTATATGTGAAGGGACTGTGTAAACTGACTATAACAGCTGCTGTAATGTCCTAGATCTGAATTAACACCGTTATTATTTAATATTTCAGAGCATGAGCAGATAGAAAAAGGAAAGGGTCAATCCATCTCCAATGGATTTAATATAAAACTGTCACACAAAAACATATAGAAATAGGTGGTTCGAGCCGTGTTTTTAATGACAATCACGTGGTCTGAGGATCCGAGACTCAGCTATGTGGTTGTGTTCGCATGCAAACGAAAGCTGATCAAAAGTCGTTTGACTGATGGCCTAAAAATGGTAACTTTTTACTTTGCCCTAAACAGACCAGAAAATCAACTGGCAAGGTCGAGACGGTGAAAAACGAGTAGAATTAAGGTAACTGACGCCTGCCAGTCGTTGATAGGTACTTTTTCTACGCTCCGTCGCTGTGTGATATTTGGGCGAATGTTACATAGACGTTTTTATGGCGCTCCTGGGTGGGCCTGTTAAAGGCATGAAACCATCATGATCAGCAAGCGTTTCAGCGACGTACCCTCCGCTCCGGGCGTAAGCCCGAGTTAGAGGCCTTAATGACCGTTGTTGTACTAGGGGGAAGGTGCGTACCCTCCGTCTAGTGCAATTTAGCTTTTTAACTTAGTTAACACCGAAAATTCCGGGGGCCGGAGGGTTAGGTGGGAAATCTAGAGCCCGCTTGTCCTGAGGTCCCAGGACCAGAAACAATTAAAGAGAAAGCGTAAAACCAAACAAAAATAGTGTATAACCAAGAAAAAGCCAAAAAATAAATTTATTTAAAAACAAAAAAGTACAAAAAACAGTAAAAAAATCCAAAAAAGACCAAAAACAGTAAAAAACATAAAGTGACAGTTTATATGTTATTTCCGGACGAGATGTGATCTGACCTTCCTATTTGTTGTTGTTTCAGATTGATTTATATCGTTTCTGATAGAGAGATTGTGTGTTTTGGTGAAGGGTTGGGTACCCTCCCTCGAGTGTAATTTGAGTGTTTAAGCACGTTAATGGTGATTTTGCCGGTGACCGGAGGGTAGAGTGGCAAGCTGATCAACGTGTTCCACACTCAACAGGGACATCAAGGACAACATCCGCAACGACTGTTGGGTATCGTTGAAGCAATTTTAGTATCGTTCGGGTACTATTTCCTTAAAACTTAAGTGGTGGGGGGCACGATTGGCGCGGTCCGATTGTACCCTCCATCGATTACGAATTTCCGAGTTAAGGGTCTTAATTCGGATATTTTGGTGCAAAGGAGGGTATAGTACTATTTATTAACGACTATTTATAGATTATTGTCCTTACTATATATTACTTATCTCCTATTTAGACCCAAGAAACACCCATTTTTTGTCGAAAATTACCAATTTTCGACCAAACTGTAGACCCCCAAATTTTCGGATATCCGAGCTTTTCCGATAGGCAAAAAGCTTTTATATAGTGAGTAGCCACGTAGTTCGATCCCCTTTATTAAAGAAACCGCGTGAGCAAAGATTCAGTGGAAGTTAGAAAAACGAGAATTTTTCGACCAAAATTTTGATAATTTTCTGTATTTTGTCAATCTGTTTTGGGGATCGAGTTTTTGAGTTTTTAGAGTTAGAGCAATAAAATTTTTTGCGTTAGGAGCGTGCTAGCATAACGTGCTCGGTTACTAGAGAAATTTTTGGGTAACCCTCCGAGTAGCTCCGTGGATAGAGCTAACGACTTAAGGTTTGGAAAAGGAAGGAATCGGAGGGTCCAAATTTGATAGTTTTTGGCCAAATTTTTGTTTCTAAACCAATTTTGGTCCGGTTTTTTGCATTATTCCAGTGCCGTAC